GGGAGTCTGCTTCTCCCTCTGACCCTCCCCCCTCTCATGTGCTCTCTCTCTCATTCTCGCTCTCTCAAATAAATAAATAAAATCTTTAAAAAAACCCCAAACAATCTACTGTCTTAACAGTCTTCTAGAAAACCTGGAACAGACCATTATGAGATAAGAGGGAGCATGGTCAAAACGCAGAGCCTTGTCCGTTTTCCATTCAGTAAATGTATAATCAGGGTACTTAGTATAGGATGCTGATCATTCCCCAGCAAAAGGTACATAGAAAGCTGTTTGTTGATTTGAAAAGAAAACAAATCTACCAAGAACAAAGGGGCAGAGGGAGAGGGGGAAGCAGATTCCCTGCTGAGCAGGATCCTGGGATCATGACCTCAGCCGAAGGCAGACGTTCACCCGACTGAGCCACGCAGGCGCCCTGAGATGGCATGTCTTGGGCTGGCAGGACACTGGGTGAAGCCACACTTGACTTAGGATGCCCTCTGTATTCACTGTCCCAGCCCGCTGTCCTCTTTTGATGCTCCTTTCAGGAAGGTTGTAGTGTTGATTGAGGTGACAGCAGTTTAGGGCATGGCTGTTTCTACATCGCAAAACAACAACAAAAACCGAAATAAAAGAGCTTTAATCTAGCCAAGGCTCATTCTGCAGATGATAGATCTCTTCCAGGAGCCTGGTATTGGCCTTAGACACAGCATTGTTTCTTCTCTGTGTTAGGACTGCCTCTTACTCAAGCTCCTGAAATTCTGACTGCTGAGAACTTTTGCCCCTGACAGCTCCCTTCTTTATAGAAAATGCTGCCTGCTTCCCAGAGAACACGGGGGTCATCAAACTGGGGAAGCACCCTTATCTCCTCTTATTCTTTCCAGTGCTTTTCCTCCCCTTTTCCTCCCTCTCAGCTGGCTGAGGGGTAAAAGCATAAAAGATCCTTTAGGACTGGTGTTGGGGAATGCGTATATAAACAGGCACAGGAGGGCACAGTTGGTAGAAGTACAAGATGGTATAATCTCTTTTCAAAAGGCAAGATAGCAATAGTTGTTAAAAATGTAAAATGTGCCAACCTTTTGATCTGGAGAGCTCACTTCTAAGAATATGTCTTCCAGTGCTGTTCACAAAAGTACGAACAGGTAAACATAGAAGACTGTTCGTAGCAGCACTGGATGTAAGTGAAAAGCAAAAAATTGTCAAACATTCATAATAACAGTACACAGATGATACCAAGGATGTGTGTTTTGATGTGGAAAATGTTCAGAAGTTGCTTAAGTAATTTTGAGCCCTCCTTTGTTAAGTAAAGAAATGTGTGCTGTGGGGCGCCTGGGTGGCTCAGATGGTTAAGCGTCTGCCTTCGGCTCAGGTCATGATCTCAGGGGCCTGGGGTCGAGCCCCACATCAGGCTCCCTGCTCAATGCAGAGCCTTCTTCTCCCTCTCCCTCTGCCATTCCCCCTGCTGTGCTCTCTGGCTCTGTCTATCTCTCTGTCAAATAAATAAATAAAATCTTAAAAAAAAAAAGAAAGTGGGACATTTGCATGTTCTCTGTTTTATTTTTGTTTTTTTGCATGTTCTCTATTTTAATGGAATTTGATGTTTGCAAGAGCTTTGGACATTCTGCAAGGATTTGTTACGGAGTTATTAAAATGATTTGGAGCTTATAAAGCCAGATGGGCCTAGTTGGAGAAGAGGTTTTAGCTGAGTTTTGAAGGAGGGCTGGGTTAGTGAGAGTTGGAGGTGAGGAGAGCATGTTCCCAGGCAGGCATGTGGTGTTGTTGGAAATCATGAAGCAGAGCGGGCAAGCTTTGTACAGAGGGTTAGGGAAATTGTCTTCTTTAAAATAGACTGAAACATTTCAGGCATGAGTAGCCCAGCTTTGACTCCCTGACCCCCTGTCCAGACCCCGCCAAGTTTCCCTCACTTCAGCTACTATTGGACCCCAGGGCATGTGCTGTCCACCCCTTACCCCAGGTTCTATCCCAAGTATGGCCTCAAACACCTTCCCTTTACAACATCTGACACAGGCAGGAACTTTCAAAAAATTTAAAAGTGTTCAATCAGAATAAATAGGAAATAAACTTAGAAAACACCCCTCACGTGAGAGTGCCCTGGCACACAAACCTAGGCCTCCAGTCCTACTGTGTCGGCTGCCTTACTCCATCTTTGAGATGACTGATGCTGTTTTCATGCCCAGAGTCTGGCTTCACTGTGTTTCCACCCAGAGGTGCCATCCTAACCCGATCCCAGGATGTTTACTAGTACAGATTCTTAAAGCTTGTGTTGAGGCACTGGAGTTAGATTTGAAACAAAATTGTTGGGTAGAGCAGTACTCCAAATACGACAGAATGTTCGCAATTACTTACTTTAAGGTGGAGGGTAAATGTGTATTCATTGTACTATCCTTTCAACTTTTTTTAGGTTTTAACATTTTCAAAATAAAAAGTGGGGAAATGAAATAATGAGAGGGATGGCAATTAGGAAGTAACAAACTTTTTTTTTAAGATTTTATTTATTAAGTGTGTGTGAGCAGGGGGAGGAGCAGAGGTAGAGGGGCAAACAGACTGCATTGAGCATGGAGCCCCATGCAGGGCTCAATCCCAGGACCTCAGATCATGACCTGAGCCTAAATCAACAGCCGGAGGGGGCGCCTGAGTGGCACAGCCGGTTAAGTGTCTGCCTTCGGCTCAGGTCATGATCTCAGGGTCTTGGGATCGAGCCCTGCATTGGGCTCTCTGCTCAGCAGGGGGTCTGCTTTTCCCTCTCCCTCTGACCCTCCTCCCCGCTTGTGCTCTCTCTCTGTCTCAAATAAATAAATTAAATCTAAAAAAAAATAAATCAAGAGCCGGATGCTCAACTGACTGAGCCACCCAGGCGTCCTGGAAGTAACAAACTTCTGAAAAAAGGGGCAGTTTTTTGTTTTTTTTTTTAAAGATTTTATTTATTTATTTGAGAGAGAGAATGAGAGACAGAGAGCATGAGAGGGAGGAGGGTCAGAGGGAGAAGCAGACTCCCCGCCGAGCAGGGAGCCCGATGCGGGACTCGATCCCGGGACTCCAGGATCATGACCTGAGCCGAAGGCAGTCGCTTAACCAACTGAGCCACCCAGGTGAAAAAGGGGCAGTTTTTAAAATAGGATGCTTTTAGGGGCGCCTGGGTGGCTCAGTTGGTTAAGCGTCTGCCTTCGGCTCAGGTCATGATCCCGGGGTCCTTGGATCAATCCCCGCATTGGGCTTCCTGCTCAGTGGGGAGCCTGCTTCTTCCTCTCCCTCTGCTGCTTCCCCAGCTTGTGCTCTCTCTCTCTGTCAAATAAATTTTTAAAAATCTTAAAAAAAATAGGATGCTTTTAGAAAATCATTTTTCCGTTGAGAAAAGTGGTGAATCCATGCCACCTGTAAAGTCTGTCCTAATTCCCTTGGGGGTACATTCTGTGAAACTTTCCCATGGGATACAAAGGTTGACATTCAAGCTGTGTTCTAGGAAACTATCCCACATCCTCCATGTTTGTCTCCAGGTGTCCTGTGTTACATATTCAGAAACACTGGTCTTGGAAGGAGTGAAGGGCAGGAGCCTTCCTTGGCAGACAGGGTGTTAAAGGAAGTCCCTATTGGGTGTTGGGGACAGAGGTTTTGGAGGCCGGAGGAGAGCTCCCAGGCCTTTCTGTGGCTCAGGGCTGGTTATCTCCGTTGTAGGTGCGATGGCTGCGAAGCGGTTCTGCTAGGCATCGAGCAGCAAGTTCTGCGAGCCAACCAGTACAAGGAGAACCACAGCCGAACTCAGCAGCAGGTAGAGGCAGAGGTAAGGAGGAGGACATCTGTTACTTGCTCCAGGGTCTCCCTGTTTGCTCCTTCATTTTCTTGGTGTAGGTGCAACAGCCGCTAATAGGCACTGGGCTAGCGGGGTACAGATGCGGGTGATGTGGTCCTTACTTTTCATGCTCTCTGTCTCCTTTCTGATTCCTGGTTGCCGGAGGGTGAGCGGGCTCGGAGAGCGAGCGGGCTCGGAGAGCGGAGAATGTTGTCATTCCACGGTATACATGTACTGTGCAGCTGTAGAGCAAAAGAAACGAGTTTGGGGGTGGGTCTTGAAGATGGGTGAAAGGGTGGGGTGGGTGCAGTGGGGCAGGGCTTCAAGGCCCTGGTTCTGCTCTGCTTCTGAAGCTGTGTGGTAGGTGCACTGTGTGCATTTTATTCTTTAAGCTACACATGTATGTTGTAATCTTTTAACATGCATGATAGATTTCATGTTGAAAAAGGAAGGAAGGGGAAACATTTGGCAGATGAAGTGCAAGTGAAGAAAGTGTGTTGTTATGGTTTTAGTGACACCCGGTTGTTCCGGACACGATTAGCCTCTCAAAACACAGGTTCTAGCCTTCGGGTTAATGGGAGCTCGTGTGCCTGTGGCCTGGTCACTTGCAACCTCAGAATTCAGAGCCATAAGCTAAAAACTGTAGCATTGGAAGTCCTTTCCTAGTGTGATGGAGCTTGAAGTGTTCATGGTATTTAATGAGTTTTCTAAGTCGTGTGTCCAGGAATATGGCAGAATGGGACCCAGAGTTAACATTCTTAAGAAACAAAAGAAAAGTAGATGTGCCTTTCAAAGGGGGATTTGTGAAATTTGAGGATTTCCATTACTCTGTTATATGTACTCCTTGAGAATAAAACCTGTCTTAAGTGTCTTTGTAAGACCAGCTCCTTGTCACATGCCTAACCCATAGTAGGTGCTCAAATTGTTTGTTGTACTGAATATTTCTGTGTCTGTGGATTGCTGAACTCCACTTTTCATGAACTAGAACACATTTATTTTGGATATACACACATCCCTACATACATATATGTACATAACAAGTCTGTGAATGTTCAGTGCATTGTTTAATTTTTAACCCTACTTCTAGCCAAAGAAGTTTGAACTACATTTAATTTAGCACTAGCTAAAATTTAGCTAATTAGCTAAATGACAAATACATTTAGGACAGTAAGCCTGCTGCTTCTCTAAGAAGCTGTGTAATCCTCGTCTTGGATATTGTGGCTTCTTCTCTGAGCCTGGGATTGATGTCTGAGCAAAGTAGGAAGGGCCAACCACTCTCTCCTATCCATTGATTCTTTCCTATAAATTAAACTGTGGAAACAAATGAAGTTTGGGGGTGAAACGCGCCCACTGAGCTGGGGTAGCCTGTGTAAAGCAAACCATCTTTAACCTGATGGGGAGCCGGAGAGGAGCCTGACCACTGCTGGAGGCCCCACTGTGCCCAGACTGTTGCTAATTGTGTGGTAGGTGGGGGGCTTGGATTGTGCTCACTAGCAAAAATGAATGATGTTAATTTCAGAATTTTGAATGGTTCAAGTTTATTTCCGTGACAAATGGCATCTGATGAAAGAAGGCACTGACTAATGGTGAGGCATGACCAATACTTAGAGAACAGTGTGGGCTCTTAAATTATGGTTATTACAAAGAAAGAGAGAGCCAGTGCACATGGATTTGTTATCAGAGGCCTACTTTTGGAAAACCACAGCTGTGGTTACTCTGCTGGCAGAGCCTGATGCTGCCACCAGGTGGCGGTAATAATTTGATTAAATTTGAGAGAAAGAAATTTGAGGAAAAGACCAAGGCCACCTCCACCACCAGTTAAAACAATCTACTGTCTTGGGGCGCCTGGGTGGCTCAGTTGGTAAGGCGACTGCCTTCGGCTCAGGTTATGATCCTGGAGTCCCGGAATCGAGTCCTGCATCAGGCTCCCTGCTCAGCGGGGAGTCTCCTTCTCCCTCTGACCCTCCCCCCTCTCATGTGCTCTCTCTCTCATTCTCGCTCTCTCAAATAAATAAATAAAATCTTTAAAAAAACCCCAAACAATCTACTGTCTTAACAGTCTTCTAGAAAACCTGGAACAGACCATTATGAGATAAGAGGGAGCATGGTCAAAACGCAGAGCCTTGTCCGTTTTCCATTCAGTAAATGTATAATCAGGGTACTTAGTATAGGATGCTGATCATTCCCCAGCAAAAGGTACATAGAAAGCTGTTTGTTGATTTGAAAAGAAAACAAATCTACCAAGAACAAAGGGGCAGAGGGAGAGGGGGAAGCAGATTCCCTGCTGAGCAGGATCCTGGGATCATGACCTCAGCCGAAGGCAGACGTTCACCCGACTGAGCCACGCAGGCGCCCTGAGATGGCATGTCTTGGGCTGGCAGGACACTGGGTGAAGCCACACTTGACTTAGGATGCCCTCTGTATTCACTGTCCCAGCCCGCTGTCCTCTTTTGATGCTCCTTTCAGGAAGGTTGTAGTGTTGATTGAGGTGACAGCAGTTTAGGGCATGGCTGTTTCTACATCGCAAAACAACAACAAAAACCGAAATAAAAGAGCTTTAATCTAGCCAAGGCTCATTCTGCAGATGATAGATCTCTTCCAGGAGCCTGGTATTGGCCTTAGACACAGCATTGTTTCTTCTCTGTGTTAGGACTGCCTCTTACTCAAGCTCCTGAAATTCTGACTGCTGAGAACTTTTGCCCCTGACAGCTCCCTTCTTTATAGAAAATGCTGCCTGCTTCCCAGAGAACACGGGGGTCATCAAACTGGGGAAGCACCCTTATCTCCTCTTATTCTTTCCAGTGCTTTTCCTCCCCTTTTCCTCCCTCTCAGCTGGCTGAGGGGTAAAAGCATAAAAGATCCTTTAGGACTGGTGTTGGGGAATGCGTATATAAACAGGCACAGGAGGGCACAGTTGGTAGAAGTACAAGATGGTATAATCTCTTTTCAAAAGGCAAGATAGCAATAGTTGTTAAAAATGTAAAATGTGCCAACCTTTTGATCTGGAGAGCTCACTTCTAAGAATATGTCTTCCAGTGCTGTTCACAAAAGTACGAACAGGTAAACATAGAAGACTGTTCGTAGCAGCACTGGATGTAAGTGAAAAGCAAAAAATTGTCAAACATTCATAATAACAGTACACAGATGATACCAAGGATGTGTGTTTTGATGTGGAAAATGTTCAGAAGTTGCTTAAGTAATTTTGAGCCCTCCTTTGTTAAGTAAAGAAATGTGTGCTGTGGGGCGCCTGGGTGGCTCAGATGGTTAAGCGTCTGCCTTCGGCTCAGGTCATGATCTCAGGGGCCTGGGGTCGAGCCCCACATCAGGCTCCCTGCTCAATGCAGAGCCTTCTTCTCCCTCTCCCTCTGCCATTCCCCCTGCTGTGCTCTCTGGCTCTGTCTATCTCTCTGTCAAATAAATAAATAAAATCTTCAAAAAAAAAGAAAAAAGAAACATGTGCTGAAAACCGGTGTAATCGTGTTTTGCCAGTCCTGATACTATGTTTTCGTCATTTGTCACTTGGTTGGCTGAAGTTCATCCTCTAGTTGTTTAGTCGGGAAGGCTCATGCAGCTGTATTCCCAAAGTTCCTGTGAAAACATTTTCAGTTTCATACGTGAACAGTGGTTAACTGACTGTAGTGTTCTTAGGACCCCCTTTTTGTTTCTAAGGCCATTTTAACCAGTACTTTCTTTCACCTGCTGTGTTGTACCTCTTTGCCAGATGGTCCACTTCCACTGGCTTATTCCCTCTTTTCAACCAAGGAAGCGTTAGTTCCATTTTTTGCTTGACTTATTTCCATGTATTGTCTACGAGTAGCCCCAGCTTGCTTCTCCTCATCTGGCTTTCTCAAGATAATCTCAGATTTTCTTGCCGAGGTTTCTGGTTTCTTCCCTGGATGGCCCCCAGTACAGTGAGAACAAGTTTCAATGAGTTTTTGGCACTTAGAGGCTGCACTTGCAGCACACTAATTCTGTGTCTCCCTCTAGGTTACCAACATTAAGAAGACACTCAAAGCCACTGCCGCCTCCTCGGCTCAGGAGATGGAGCAACAATTGGCGGAACGGGAGTGTCCCCCTCACGCTGAGCAGAGGCAGCCCACCAAGAAGATGTCCAAAGTGAAAGGTCTGGTCTCCAGCCGCCACTAGGGCCGGCTGGGGCAGCTGGTACTCACCAGGCCTGGGTCAGGTGGGGAGGGGACACCAAGGGCCTATTTCCTCCCCTCTCTACCTTCCGTGAGTTCCAGACCTGCCCGTCCCCTCACCAGCGCCTCCCACCCTGTTGGTACTGTTCCAGAAGAACCGTTAATCCTTTCTCCCCCACTTTCTCCTCCCCCAGTTGTTCCTTCAGACTCAGGGGCTCCACTGATGCCATCCCAACAGGGTCAGACACTGCCCAGCTTCCCTCCAGGAGGTTCTTGTCTTTGTTTAAGGGCTTGTCTCCCTCCCAGTTTTTCTTTTGCTCTGTGTCATTTTTGTCAGGCTGGTCCTAAGCCGGAGGCAGCTTTAGCCGGCCCGCAGGATGACTGCGAAGGAGGCTCCTCTCTGAGTGAGGAGGAGGGTCTGCCTCCTCCAGCCCCATGTACCACAGTACCCACACGGGTGCAGGTGGTCTCTAGCCAGGTATCAAATGCTTTGTTTTCCCTCTCCTGCCTTATCCCTTGTTGGCAGCTCCGATCAGGCCACGGAGGGATGTGATGCTGGGCTATGTTTACTAAACCTGCGGGTTTTCAGCCTCTTAAGCCCAGCTCCAATCTCTCATTAGTCGGGAGCACTGGGTTGACTAACCTCTGGTATCTGAGCACCAGTGGAGGGTGCTGCGGGTCTGCTGGGTGGCAGAAGTTTCTTCCGGTTTGGTGTTCTTTGCTGGCCACGCTTCCTGCCCTGCTGCCCCCTTGACTCCTCAGCCTGGTTTTCAGTGTGAAGGCCCCAGCTGCCGCCCAGAACTGTCTGCCGACACTTGCTCTCCCGAAACCCTTTATCCCTCCCGGCGGTGTCTAAGCTGGGGACGGTCGTGCTGAGGGCCCTCTGTCTGCTGAAGGACCTGCTGCTGCTTCTGTCTCTCTCTTTCCACCCCTCCTTGGCTGATGACCCAGAGCCCTCTGATGATGGCATTCTCCTGGCAAGAGAAAAGGACTTGACTAGCCTTTCTGAACTTGAACAGTTTCAGGTTATATTTTAATTTTTTTTTTTTTTTTGTACAGGTTCTGATTCTAATACATTTCAACATGCTTTTTTTCCCCCTCGTGTCAATATTTGTTAAACTAATCGCCGGTGATTTTTCACCTGGTTGGAGGGTGGTGTGTGTGTTTGTGTGTGTGTGTTGTTGTTTTTTTTTAAGGGGAGGTGGAGGTCCTGGACTGATATTAAAGTTCAATGAGAGAAAAAGCACATTTTAGAACAAGAAATAAAAGTGTAGATTTAATGTATGTGACTGTGGAGTGCGGGGTTGTGTAGCTGGTGGATCTGGAGGGTCTGGGATTAGGGTGGTTCAGGGAAAATGTGACACTCTTTCTGTTCCATGGATAAAAAACGGGTTTCTCCTTTTTCCAGACTCTCCAGCAGGTGTTGACTGTGGATTGAATGTCAACAAAGTATTGTTTCCCTTTTCACCGGGTCCGTGTGCCCATATAACCTTATGCCCACCTGGAGAGTTTAATTCCCAAATTATGTTTCATGAAACCCCTTGACAGATGCTCTGTGGAAAAGGGTTTCTGTTGTTAAATAAATTTCACACATCCTATATCCCACATCCTCATTGGAAATTCATTTTAAGGTCTCAGAAAAGGCCTGGGTGAGGAAGCCTATTCCCACACTGATTTCACCACCAAATTCTTCTTGTGGAACTATCCACTATCTAGTGGAATACACTTTGAGGAAATTTTTGGAAACATTATCTATTTCTCAAAAACACCTCCCAGCCTTGTAGGTTTTTACAGCTATACTTTCTAGACCTAAAACAGGCACTCTCACTCTTGGCAAGTGGTTTTTCATCCTATCTTTCGCACTGGGGAGCAGACTAGGAAGCCTGGCTTGACTTGTGTGAAATGTGTGACCATTTGTTTGACTGCCCCAGGGCCCTGAGGAGCTTTAGGTTCATCTTCTTTATGGTTCTGCTGCTTGCTTCCTTAAAAATAGTAATGGCAGTACTAAGAACACATTTCTGAAGTGCTCTATAAAGTGTCTTCATGTATAATAAGCCACTGAATCCCATCCACTCAAACAATCTCCTCAGGCTGTAAGGGTAAGTATTACTACAGTTCTTGCTTTACGTATGAGAAAAGGGGACTCAGAGACTCAAAGTACTCTCACTGCAAGTGCAAACAGACTCCTAGGTCTCCCGGCTCGTACATCCTGCCATCTTCTCTGTGTTACAGTCTAGTTTAGAGTCTGCTCCCCACGTGCTCACTTAAGCAGCACGTATACTAAAGTTAGTCTGCTCCCCAGACGGACCTTTGGCATCCTTTTACCTGCTTGTTCCTCTGAGGGCTCATCTTGCTTTTAACTGACACCCAACACACCACAGTCTCTGCTCCCCAAACCCACTTAGCCACTTTGTAAGGAATCAGGGTGGATGGGGCTGGGGCTCTAGGAATTGTGGGAACAGCTGGGATGTTCATTGCTCTGTTGGGTTCCCATCTGCCATGTCAGGCTCCATGTTCTGACGGCTGGGCTGTCTGAAAGATGCACAGGTGTTTTACTTCCAGTGTTCAGAAGAGGGGTCCTCATCAATAGGGCAGCATCTTAGGAAGGAGACACTGCAGCATTAAGCAGCATTAGCTAGGGAGCAGTGCCTCTAGCCACCTTCTTTAAGCTGTTTGCTTTCTGAAGTCCTCTGGTCTTTACTGTCTGTCCAAATGAGAGGCATTCTGGTTCCTACTCGGGTAACATTAGGAAGGTAGTCAGAGCCGGGTTGCTGGAAACCAAATCACGTTCCAGTTCTTAGAGTCTTTATTCTAACAGCCTGAGACTTCAAACACTTTTTTGAAATGCAGCAGTTGATTGATTTGTACTGGACCTGAGGGCTGTCATATATGTACTTGAGTTTCAAGTAATAGCATGCTTTGATCATTTTGTGATCGTACCTGTGTCTTCCTGGGGATTCTGCATACAGCCATGAGCATCTGATCGCTTCAGTAAGTCTTTTCTTGTAGTTATGCTTGAGACTTACAGATTGAAATCTATTTTTTAGTATAAATTTCAGTTTGCATCTCCATTACATTACCCTGAGGATATTAAATGGATCTTTTAAACTTATGTCTGTTAGGCAGGTTAGCTATGACTTGACCTCAGGACAGTAAAGGTGTTCATTATATAAAGGGAATGTTTTTTTGGGATGAGAACTGTTGTTCTTTTTTTTTTTTTTAAAGATTTTATTTATTTATATGACAGAGAGAGACAGCAAGAACAGGAACACAAGCAGGGGGAGTGGGAGAGGGAGAAGCAGGCTTCCCGCTGAGCAGGGAGCCCGATGTGGGACTCGATCTCAGGACCCTGGGATCATGACCTGAGCCGAAGGCAGATGCTTAACGACTGAGCCACCCAGGCGCCCGAGAACTGTTGTTCTTAGTTAAGGATAAAACAAGGAAGTAAGTGATGGAGAAGGGAAAGATAGGGTGTGGCCCAACTCTTTTTGGGGTCATTTATGCCTGTCCTTTCATTGCTTTTCCCTAGTCAGAGATTCATCTAGTTACTTGCCTTTCCAGATTTTCAGTTTCACAGGAAATGGCGTGGAACCATGGGAGTGAATTATAGAACCTGTGGAGAACATACATAAGTAGTATAGGAAGGTCACAATGGAACTCTGGCAAACACCTCCAGCTTGACTCTAAAAGAAGAGAGATGCCCCTGAAGAAATTTTATTTTTATTTATCTATTTTTAAAGATGTATTTGAGAGAGAGGGAGAGAGGATCCCAAGCAGACTCCCCGCTGAGCTTGGAGCCCAGTGCGGGGCTCAATCCCACTACCATGAGATCCTGACCTGAGCTGAAATCAAGAGTCGGACACTCAACTGACTGAGCCACCCAGGCGCCCCATAATTCTTTTTGTTGTTGTTCTTTTTAATTTATTTTATTAAGTAGGCTCCATGCCCAATGTGGGGCTTGACCTCATCACCCTGAGATCAAGTCGTGTGCTCTACCAGCTGAGCCAGTCAGGTGCCCCTCACCCCTAAAGAAATTTTAGAATGGGCAGAGAAACAAGGAAAACCAAGAGAGATTGGGAACTCCTCCAGCACCTCCTATTGCTGCTGGAGAAGGCCCACGACTGCAGGGTAGTGCCACTATACGTCTCTTGTATCTGTTGTCTCTAAACCCAACCGGGTCCTCAGAGCTGTTGGGCCATCCCATCGTCTGCCCCGAGGTAGTGTGTGCTCACCGCCTACAGCTGGTCTAGTTTCACTGTTCTCTCAAAGTGGTGTGCCTCACCCCTCACTCGGCGATGACTGGATTTCCTGCTTCGTAGTGAAAAGAACACTAGGTTTTCTCCACCTATGGAATCATCTGCTTCCAACCTTACCTGCTTTGTTCCTTTCGAAGTGGAAAAGGTATCCCTTCTGTGTGAGTAATTCGTCAACTGTGCCATGTCGATCTGCGTCTCCTGTCCCCAGAGTTTTCTGCCTCTGTCGCTCCCCACTAACTGCTGCGTGTGATAAGAAATTGTGTACTTTAACTCTCCCTGAACCTGATGTCCAGAGCCACCACCTTTTTTCTCTTTTTTACAATCAAGCTCTAGCGTTGTCTACCCTTTCTGTCTCTACTTCCTTTCTCACGCCTAAATATGATCTGAGCCGAAATCAAGAGTCTGACGCTTACCTGACTGCCTCCCAGGCACCCCTATCTGCCTTCATCTTTATGTTATAGTTGGCACTGTTGAGCCCACTTATTTAAGTGTTATTTTAGTTTTCATGGTCCCAATCTCTAGATTCGCCTTGTGTTCCCCTGCCTCTTCTAAAATTTCTTCAGGGGCATCTCTTCCTTTAGAGTCTTAGTAGTAGGCATTTGCTAGGGTTCCATCATGACCTTTTTTTTTCCTTTCAAGATTTTATTTATTTGAGAGAGAGCTAGAGAGCTAGAGAGAGAGAGAGAGAGTGAGAGTGCAGTAGCAGGGAGGAGGGGGTGAGAGAGAGGGAGAAGTAGGCTCCCCACTGAGCAGGGAGCCTGATGCAGTACTCAATCCGAGGACCCTGGGATCATGACCTGAGCTGAAGGCAGACGTTTAACCAACTGAGCCACCCAGGTGCCCCTATGGTGACCTTCTTATTTTATTTCTATACATTCTCCATAGGTTCTGTGATTCACTCTCATGGTTCCACTTCTATTCATAATACCCAAATCTCTCTCCACTCATTCTGCCAACATGTGTAGTCAGCAGCTGAGGTGGGCATCTCTACATGCTGTTTTCCAGCTCTACTCAGATAGTAAATGGCACCCACCAGTTGCCAAGTGTACTGTTTTGTAGGGCTGGCATAACAAAATACCACAGACTAGGGGCTTAAACAAAAGAAGTTTATTTCCTCACAGTTCTGGAGGCTGGAAGTCCAAGATCAAGGTGTTAGCAAACTTGATGTCTCCTGAGGCCTCTCTCCTGGGCTGGCAGATGGTCACCTCACTGGGGCCTCACATGGCCTTTCCTCTGCGTGTGCATCCCTGGTGTCCGTCTCTTCCTATAAGGATTCCGGTCATACTGGATTAGGACCCCACTTTTATGAGTTCATTTAACCTTAATTACCTCTTTAAAGCCTATCCCCAAGTATGGTCACATTAGGGTTAGGGCTTCAACACATTTTTGGGAGAACATAAATTTCCGCCTCTCTGTGCTTCCCTGCTGTGCGGCAGCAGCCTCCCCTGCCAACAGTCCAGCCTCCCGATGCCTCCTTCGTGATCTTTCAAACTGCAGTGGCTTCCCCTCCCCAAAGTCCAGGTTTCTGTCTGGTCTTGAGAAACCTGTCGTGCCGTGGACTCAGACCCTGTCACAGGTCCCTCCACTTCTCACCGCATATGCTCCAGTCTCCCTGAGCTTCTGTGGTTCAGAAAGCGCCATGGCCATCTGCACCACTGGACCTCTTTACGTTCGTGCAGTTTGCTCCGTCTGGGTTTCTTGCCTCCCCTGCCCCTGTCCACCTGGCAAACGCTCATCCACGAAAGCTCCCATTGCCGGGGATAACCCCCAGCCGCACCATTTGGTACCCTACACCTTTTTCGGTGTTCCCACCTATTTCCTGCATTACAGTCCTTTATAATTTATTTGCCCCCCCTACTAGACTATGAGCTTCTTGAGAGCAGGGGCTGTGCTCCCTTCTCACGCCTCCATGGTGCTCCTGGAAGGAAAGCCTTCCCCAGCCCGGAAGGCCACGGGACCCGGCAGAGGCGCAGCCTGGTGCGGGTGTGGGCGGATGGAGGCTGCTGCAGTTGCCTGGAGCTCCA